ATATATATATATATATATATATATATATATATATATATATATAAGCTTTATTGAGGTATAGTTTACATATTATAAAATTCACCTATTTTAAGTGTGCAGTGATTTTCAGTAAATATATAGAGTCTTGTAATCATCACAATACAGTTTCGGAACATTTCTGTCGCTCCAGTAAAATTCCTTGTCCCAATTTTGGTCAGTCCTGTTTTCATCCCCAGCCCCAGGCAAGCACCATTCTATTTACCGTCTCTTATGGCTTTGCCTTTTCTAGACATTTTATATGCATGTAAACCTACAGAGTGTAGCCTTTTGAGGCAGGTTTTTTTGCCTTAGCATAATGTTTTCAAGGTTCATGCATGTTGTAGCATGTATCATATAGATGGAAGTTCATTTTGTTTTATAGCTCAATATTCTACATAGTTTTTAATTACTTTTTTTTTTTTTTTAAAGACAAGTTCTTGCTCTGTCACCCAGGCTAGAGTGCAGTGGCATGATCACGGCTCATTGCAGCCCCAACCTCCAGGGCTGAAGTGATTTTCCTGCCTCAGTATACCCAAATAGCTAGAACCACAGGTGTGCGTTATCATACCTGGCTAATTTTTTTTTTTTTTTTGTATTTTTTTGTAGAGATGGGGTTTCACCATGTTGCCCAGGCTGGTCTTGAACCTTTAGACACAAGTGATCTGCTTGCCTCCGACTCCTGAAGGGTTGAGATTACGGTGTGAGCCACCACACCTGGCTTAAAATTATCTTTAAGGGTGTTGTCTTCTGAGGTCTTTGTCATTTATAAAACTGATATTTATATTTTCCTCATGTTTTTTTTTTCAGTTTGCTATTTGTGCTTTAACTTATTAAAATTTTATTTGGGTATTTAATCTTGTTTTTTTGAGATGGAGCCTTGCTCTGTCGCCCAGGCTGGAGTGCAGTGTCGAAATATTGGCTCACTGCAAACTACTCCCAGCCTCAGCCTCCTGAGTAGCTGGGATTATGGGTGTGCTCCATCAAGCCCAGCTAATTTTTGTACTTTCAGTAGAGACGATGTTGCACCATGTGGATCAGGCTGGTGGGTATTTATTCTTAAACGTAATACATTTTTCATGTAAAAAGTTTGGATGGTGCATAAATCCCTGTGTCCTTTTTCTTATCCCACTCTCTAGAAATGGCCATCATTTTCTTATTTCAGAGATATTCAGTGCCTCTCTAGGCATGTATTTGGTCAGAGTGGTCACAGAGCCCTTAAGCATGCTAATTAGAAGTTATCATTATACTTTTCTCCATTCCCCACACAGATTTAAGTACCTCTTTCCACCTTTTTCTGAAAAAGAATCGTCTTATACATTTATAGTCGAAAGTCATGAAAGCAGTCCCTGATAGATGTCTTTAGTTGGGAAATTTTCTCCTTTGCAATATTTTAAAATGAACTTTGTTATGTTTTTAAGTATAGACTTGAGACTGCCTCATTTCTTTTCCATCATCCACGTTAGTTGTGAAGATTTATTTTCTAACTGGGAGAGCATGATCTGTTGGTATACCATCTCATACATAGATGTCTTATCCCCTCTTCCCCACCTTTTAAAAAAACCCCACATACAAATGATCAAATGAGATCATACTAAACTTTTTTTTTTTTTTTTTTTTTTGAGACAGAGTGTTGCTCTGCCACCCAGGCTGGAAGGCAATGGAACAATCTTGGCTCACTGCAACCTCCACCTCCCGGGTTCAAGCAATTCTCCTGCCTCAACTTCCCAAGTAGCTGGGACTATAGGCGCATACCACCATGCCTGGCTAATTTTTGTAGTTTTAGTAGAGACAGGGTTTCACCATATTGGCCAGGCTGGTCTCGAACTACTGACCTCAGGTGATCCTTCCCCCTTGGCCTCCCAAAGTGCTGGGATTATAGGCGTGAGCCAACATGCCTTGCCATACATACTGTTTTTGTGTATGGGTATATTTGCAAGGGGTGAAGGGGGGTGGTTTGCTACAGGGTCTTGCTCTGTTGCCCAGGCCAGAGTACGGTCCTGCAATCGTGGCTTACTGCAGCCTCAACCTCCCAGACTCAAATGATCCTCCTGCCTCAGCCTCCCTAGTAGCTGGGACTACAGGCATGTGCTGTCATGCCTTGCTAATTTTTTTTTGTAGAGACAGTGTCTTGCTATGTTACCCAGGCTGGTCTGGAAATCCTGGGCTCAAGTGATCCTCCACCTTGGCCTCCCAAAGTGCTGGGGTTACTGGGATGAGCCACCTGTGCCCACCTCTATGTATACTATTCTCAAACTTGATTTTTAAATTTCACAGTATGTTATGGACAGCATGTTTTTTGTTTGTTTGGTTGGTTGGTGGTTTTTTTTTTTTTTTTTTTTTTTTGAGACAGAGCCTCACTCTGTTGCCAAGGCTGGAGTGCAGTGGCACAATCTCTTCTCACTGCAACCTCCACCTCCTGGGTTCAAGCGATTCTCCTGCCTCAGCCTCCTGAGTAGCTGGGACTACAGGCGCCCGTCACCACACCTGGCTAATTTTTGTATTTTTAGTAGAGGCGGGGTTTCACCATATTGGTCAGGCTGGTCTCAAACTCCTGACCTCAGGTGATCTGCTCACCTCAGCCTCCCAAAGTGCTGGGATTACAGGTGTGAGCCACCGTGCCCAGCCTGTTTTTGTTTTTGAATGGATGCATGGTGTGTCCATTGTGGTTGGCCATATTTTACTTAACCACTACTTTGTTGATGGACAAGAGTTTTGCTACACTCAACCAACTGAAGAGTTATCTGTATCTTTACCTTGTTGCTGGCCTAATGGATTAAAATGTATTCATTTAAATTTGCTTTTCTGTAATTATGAGTAAGGTTGGACGCCTTTATTGCCCTTTTGTATTTTTCTGTAACTTGTGTATTTTCCTCTCTACTTCTCTCAGATTGTTATTCTTTTCCTCATTGATTTATGTCAGCTGTTTGCATATTAAGGAAAATAGCTTATTAGATTCTTGCTGTTCCTCCAGTTTGTCTTTTAACTAGGTTTATAATGTTTTTTACTACGTGGCACTTTTTGGGTGAATTTTGGTGACATTGACTCCAGCAGTCTTTTCCTTTCTGATTTCTGCTTTAAAGTATGGTGGCATGGGGTGGGGGTTGGGGTGGGGTCGGGGTGGGGAAGGTGGGAGTGGGGGTGGGCAGGAGGGGGAGAAATTCTTAATTGTTATATAAAATTCACTTCTGTTTTCTTTATGACTGCATAATTTACATATAAATATTCTGTATAGCTGAATTTTTAAATGTCAGTATCTTAACATGTTTTCCAGATGACTAGTCAGTTTTCCCATTTGTTGAAAAATTTACATTTCCCTGGTGATTTGAAATGCCATCTTTATCATATATCAAATGCAAATATATATATATTAGGGCTTGTTTTTGCACGTTTTCTTTTTTGTTTTTGTTTTTGTAATTTTTTTTTTTTGAGACGGAGTCTTGTTCTGTCGCCCAGGCTGGAGTGCAGTGTCGTGATTTTGGCTCATTGCAACCTCTGCCTCCCAGGTTGGTGTGATTCTCCTGCCATAGCCTCCTGAGTAGCTGGGATTACAGGTGCCTGCCACCACACCTGGCTGATTTTTGCATTTTTAGTAGAGACGGAGTTTTACTTTCTCAGCCAGGCTGGTCTTGAACTCTTTATTGATTGATTGATTGATTGACAGGGGTCTCAGCACGTTGGTCAGGCTGGTCTTGAACTCTCGACCTCAGGTGATCCGAACGCCTTGGCCTCCAAAGTGCTGGGATTACAGGCATAAGCCACTGCACCCGGCCTGTTTTTACACTTTTTCTTGTGTTGCATTGGTGTGCATGTCCAGTTTTTCAGGGCCTCAGAATTTAAATTTTTCTTTTTTTCTTTTCTTTTTTTTTTGGTGGCGATGGGGGTCTAACCAACTTGCTCAGGCTGGTTGGGAACTCCTGGGCTCAAGCGATCCTCCTACCTGGCCTCCCAAAGTTCTGGGATTACAGGTGTGAGCTACTGTACCCAGCCGAAAGCCAGAGTTTTAATGTTTACTTAAAGATGTTTTTAAAGGGGCAGTACATTTCCTTTATTAATTTTCATTTTATTCAGATTACAAATATATGGTTTAAAGAGTTAAGTAGTTCTATGGGCTTGTTAAAAGTAGCAAGAGGTTCTAGACCTTTTTCCTTCTTCCTTGACTCCCCAGAGGCAGTCTGTTTCAGTCCTTTCAACTGATTTTTGGGTTTTTACCTCTCTCTCAATTTTTTTTAACCTTTAATAATTATTTGTTGACTTTCCACAGGGAGATAAGGATTTTGCTTTGTGATAGCCAATGTGGTGGTGAAGAGCAAAATTCAAAGCCTGTGCTGTGTGACATTTGGCAAGTTACTGTCTCTGTGCCTCAGTTTTCTCATATATAACATAAGGGCACCAGTTGTTAGATGGGAATTAGGTAAATTGATAGTGTAAACAGATTTGGACCTCTTCCTGGCACATAGTAGTTTGACTCACCCCATTTCCTGTTCTCCCATTTTAATTATTTGTACTTTGGCTAATTAAAGTTTCATTGTTTTTGTCTGTGTGTGTGTGTGGTGGAGAGTGGCGGGCGTCAGTGGTGACAACGGTGGTGGTGGTGGTGGTGGTGGTGGTGGTGGTTGTATTTGAGACAGGGTCTCTCTGTTGCTCAGTGTTGCCATCACAGTTCACTGCAGCGTTGACCTCTTGGGCACAAGCGATCCTCCCACCTCAGCCACTTTAGTGGCTGGAACTACAGGCGTGTGCCAGCACACTCAGCTAATTAAAAAAAAAAAAAAAAAACTTTTTGTAGAGACAGTGTTGCATTTCGTTGCCCAGGCTGGTCTTGAACTCCTGAGCTCAAGTGATCCTCCTGCTTCAGCCTCCCAAAGTGCTGGCATTACAGACATAAGTCATCAAGCTTATTGTTTATAACTGTTTAAATGTTTCTCAACACTTGAGCCATTAGTATGCTTGGATTACTTTTCTTTCTGAGCACAATATTTTGCTGCCCTGAGGGTGATTTTTGTTTTGTTCAATCTTTTTTTTTTTTTTTTTTTAACTAAATTATCCTCAGACTCCTTAATATATTCTATCAGTTTTATCTTTTTGAAGAATTCTTTTCTAGAATGCTGGACCGACTCTGATCTGGACTGGCTGAGTTCTAGATCTGTACAGATCTCACCCTGGGGTTCCTTTCAGCCTTTCTTTGTTGGAGCCTCTGTTTGCTGGACCCATTTTTTTTTTTTTTTTAACTTCTCGAGAGTGCAAGGGAGATAAAATTCGAAACTTTCGCATTCTGAAACTTTTTCTTGCTTTGATACTGCACCTGCTATCCCAGGTTTGGCTGGGGAACAGTTTTTTTAAGGTTGGAAATATTTTTCTCAGAATTTTGAAGGCACTGATCCTTTGTCTTGTGTTTTCAGTGGCAATGTTGAAATATTCTGATTCTTTGCTCTTCGAATGAATCCTGTCTTCTTCCCTTTCTGAAAGCTTTTGTTAACTTTGCTGTGCCCCTGGTGTCCTGAAATTTGTTGGTGATGCATTTCAGCATGCATTTTCATATATTTTGTTCAGCTTTGATGAGCTCTTTCAGTCTGGAAACTCCCTTCTTTTGTTATTGGAAAATTTCTTGAATTGATCCTTTAATTTACTCTCCTTCCTTTTCTCTGTTCTCCTTTATTGGAGCTTCTGATTTTCAGACATTGGACTTTGTGGTCTGGTTCTGTAATTATATTTTCTTTTTATCTTTTGACAAAATGTTTGCTTTGTTTTCTGGACGATCTTCTCAGCGTTGTTTCCTTCAAGTTGTTTTTTTGTATTTATTTACTTTAGTTTTGTTTATTTCATACTAGATACGTTACCATAAATATATTGTGGTTCTTGACTGCATACACCTATTTAAAAAAAAAATCTTTTTTTAAGATACGGGTTCTCCCTTTGTTACTCTGGTTGGTCTTGAACTCCTGGGCTCATGCGATCCTCCCACCTCAGCCTCCCAAAGTGCTGGGATTAGAGGTGTGAGCCACCACACCCACTATATACTCCTATTTAAGAGTGGAACACAAAAAGAATATTGGGGTTGAGCACAGTGTCTCACACCTGTAATCCCAGCAATTTGGGAAAGCCAAGGCGGGTGGATCACCTGAGGTCAGGAGTTTGAGACCAGCCTGGGCAACATGGTGAAACCCCATCTCTACTAAAAATGCAAAAAGCCAGGTGTGGTGGCACACACCTGTAGTCCCAGGTACTTGGGAGGCTGAGGCAGGAGAATTGGTTGAATCCAGAAGGTGAAGGTTGAAGTGGGCTGAGATTGTGCCACCATACTCTAGCCTGGATGGCAGAATGAGACTTTGTCTCAAAAAAAAAAAAAGGGGCCGGGTGCGGTGGCTCACGCCTGTAATCCCAGCACTTTGGGAGGCTGAGGCAGGTGGATCACGAGGTCAACAGATCGAGACCATCCTGGTCAACATGGTGAAACCCCGTCTCTACTAAAAATACAAAAAATTAGCTGGGCATGGTGGTGCATGCCTGTAATCCCAGCTACTCAGGAGGCTCAGGCAGGAGAATTGCCTGAACCCAGGAGGCGGAGATTGTGGTGAGCCAAGACCGCGCCATTGCACTCCAGCCTGGGTAGCAAGAGCGAAACTCCGTCTCAAAAAAAAAAAAAAAGGCGGGGGGGGGGATGGCATGACTATGACTATAGGGCCTAACTGTGGGCTTAACAGCCCCACCCATTTCCTCCAGGGTGGGTCAGTCATTGGGGTATGCAGTGTTATGACTACATTGGGGGATCTGAGGCCTAGCTAGTGGGTTTAGGCAGATGCATAACCTCTCCTGTTTTTGTATATGTCTTTATTCCTAAATTTTTTTGGAATACTCATTGTAAACCACGTTGCTGCTCTACTTTTCCCACTGCTGGCTAAGGAAGATTCAACTTTTTCAGGTTGGCTAAGTCATTTACCATTTGTCTACTTCTCAGTTCCCTTAATGTTGCTTCACTTGTTCATTTTGCCCTAGTGAATTCATGCCTTTTTTTCCCCATCCCTGTATTTTAGGAGGGTTTAGGACGAGAGATGAGGCTAATGCATGCATTTAGCATTTAGTCTTTAACTGGAGCTGAGAGGAAGTACTGGATTTGCATCTAAAAGGTTTTATTCTGCCTTTCATTCTTATTATGATATATATGGTGTTTTGGATATGATGCAACATTTTGGTATGCCAGTTTAATGATCCATCAAGTTGTAACAGTTATTGCCA